CCCAGCCGCTCCGCGGCATGTGGGATCTTCCCGGACCAGGGCACGAACCCGTGTCCCCTGCAACGGCAGGCGGACTCTCAGCCACTGCGCCACCAGGGAAGCCCCAGAATTTCCTTACTTTTTAAGGGTGAATAAATATTCCCTTGTATGTATATGTTGCATGTTGTTTATGAATTCATCCCATGATGGACATTTGGGTTGCTTCCACGTTTTGGCTCTTGTAGATAATGCTGCTATGAACGTGGGTGTACAAATATCTGTTCCAGACCCTGCTTTTCCTTCTTTTAAGTATGCAACCGGAACTGAAATTGCTGGATCATTATTTTTCCCTTCTTAATTAGCAAATTTCTTGTGGAATGATACGTTGAGACTATGTAACTATGTAACTATGTAACTCCTCACACGTTCACCCACTAGCATCCTTCAATTCCTATCTGAATCAGTTATTAATCTAACGGTTGTGAAATGGTAATTTTCTTTCCATCGTTTCTTCTACATTTATTAGTTGGCATTCTACTGTAGGGAAGAAATTTCCCTTCTCCCCTATTGATTTACGAATTTGGAAGCATTTTATTCAACCCTTTACACCACGGACACCTTAACGCTCTGAGCAATTCTTTTCCATGTGACTCCCAAGAGTGCAAGTTTGGGGAAGTGAGGGAACTTTCTGTATTTCCTTGTCACCATTAGGAAAGCCGAGCGTGCAGCCCGACTGCCCCAGATCCAGGTGATCACTTTCCTGCCCATGCATGTTTAAAGTGGAAACCCTCTCTGGGACAGAGCTCTGGGGAATCACCTGGGCCACCCCGCCACGAGAGAACTACATTTCCCAGAGTCCTTCGAGGGCTTGCGTCATCAGCGAGCGCGGCTTTTTTCCTCGCTGGTTTTGGAGGGCCCGCTGTGGCGGCGGCAACATGGCGGACGTGTTAAGTGTCGGCGTGAACCTGGAAGCCTTTGCCCAGGCCATCAGTGCCATCCAGGCGCTGCGCTCCAGCGTGAGCAGGGTGTTCGACTGCCTGAAGGATGGCATGCGCAACAAGGAGACGCTGGAGGGCCGGGAGAAGGCCTTCATTGCGCACTTCCAGGACAACTTGCATTCGGTCAACCGGGACCTCAAGTAGGTACCGGCTGAAGGGGCCGGGGACCTCCCACCCTGTCCCGACCCCGCGCGAGTCTCCTCAGTCAGGGGCTGCTGTCCATTTTCCTTGCTCTCTTGCTCCCCCTCCCTCCTTTGCAAGCCTCTTCCTGCCCCTCAGGGCCACCTCATTCTCCACCCCCGCTTTCTCGTCTCCCTTCTCTTGGCCTTCAGGTCCTGGCTGTCTCCCTCCGCCCTGGACCTCCTCAGTGGTCCTTCCATTTCTCACTGGGGGACGTGCTCTTCCCAGGAACTTCCACTCCTCATCTCAGCTCGGCAGGGTTCTCACCTGTGGGCCCGCTGAGCCCCACCATGTCTGATAAAATAGTACCAAACAGGACCTGTTTGCTTAGCGCTGCCCCAAAGCTAAGTGCACTCCATCTGATTGGCCCCAGGTTTTCGTCCCTGAACCTGGAATTCATCAGTTCCACTCTAACCCACCCCCAAACACGACAAAATAGGCTTTGTTCTTTCTTCCCCCTACCCCTTACGAAACCACCTGATCAGTACTTTCACTCCAACTCTCACTGTTCCTCTTAAGTTTCTGTCTCTAGAGAGACCTAATCTCGGCCTTAACCAGCTTAATCACTTCTGCTTACACCTCCCCCCGCCCCCCAACAAATATTAATTTGTGGTCTTTTAGGGTTAAGGATTGTATATTTCTTTCTTACAAGACACCTTCTACTTTGTAAGTGAAATTAAGTGAGAGGATGTTTGTAAAATGCCTGGCACATAGTAGGCACTTTTTAATTGGTTAGGTCCTGGACTTGCCTTCCCCTGCTTATGAGAGTCAGTCCTTTCCAGGACGGTTAGAATTGCAGGATTTTTTGCCTTTTACCTCTCAGAACTGACCTTAGCAGGGGAAGGCATTGGGTGAGCTAGTCATCCTATAATTTCTGGAGTGGCTGGGTTTTTTGTTTTGTTTTGTTTTGTTCCGTCTCAACTTGGTCTCCTTAGTAACCAGATGGAAGGAGGAGGTAGGATGGAAGAGGAGGTGGTGACCAAATGATGGGAGCCTCTTTTTATTTATTTATTTATTTTCCTCTAAGTAGTTGCCATTCTTGTTTTGGGGGAAAGCCAGGAAATCACACACCCCTCCTCAACTCCCACACCCACTTGCTGTTCTCTGGTGCAGTGCCAATTAATACTTTCCCTGCTTGAGGGGATGCACTGGTGGTTCTTTCCTCTCTTCTGTCTCCTCTTTGATTGGCTTCCCTTGGTAATATACAGGATGTTGTAACCCTTCACCATTGTAGAAAGTTTAAGAATGTTGACATCACACCTTTGCCTTCTTAAATCTTTAGACAGCGGTACCAAGAAGAAGGTGGCTGAAGATTCCAGAATGAACGTGGCATGAGAAGCTGTTCCTACAAAGCCTTTGTTGACACTTTGAGACTGGCCCTTCAGACTGGCGTGCTTCTGGAATGTGCTTTTTTTTTTTTTTTTTTTTTGGTACGCG